AGATTTTCTGCAAGGCATGGAAGAAGGTGGTCCTTGGAAATACTTTTTGTGCATGCATCTCATGTCCTCCAGTAGTTCATATGACATTTATTTTTTAAGTGCTACACAGATGGAAAGCGCCTGCAAGAGTCCAAAGGCATGCAGAAATTGCTTCTGATTAGCTTCAAAAAACACTAATATTTTGAAGAATAATTTGTTTTTGATTTTTATCCAAGTTGCTCCCTCCTCCCGACCCTTGATGAAGACGTAGAGCTTTAAGGTTTGACCAGCTGATGCTGTGCTTTTGGGTGTTTTTCAAGCTTCACTGCCCATTGTGAGAAAATATGCACTTACACAAAGGAATTTTGGTGAACTGAAAACCTCAGACTACCTTGAGAACATCTGAGATAGATAGCATACCAATATCTGGGAAACCACTCTATTTAGTCTCCTGGGATATTTTTAAAAACCCTTTTTCTCCTCCACCAAGAAAACATCCCTTTTTTTCCTCACCAACAGAGCTAAAGGATGGCAATATTTTAGCCATCCTTTTACTTGGCATTTCTGCTGCCTAAGCAGCAGAACCTAGAATCTAACTAACCAAAACCAAGCACAAAGGCAGAGCTCAGCACACGGCGCTGCTTTGTCCGACCTGCCTGCGCTCTGCTGACCGCTCTGCAAATGTTTTTTGTTTCTTTTACCTTTGCGGAGCTGGAGTCTCTCCCCACAGCATCCTCCTTCTGCGGGCCCGAGAGCATCCGTCGGCTGCCAGCGCCCCATTGCTTTCGCTTCAGCGCTGGGGAGAAACCCAGAGAGAACACGGTATTTCCAGCGTCCCAGAGGAGGTGAGTTGTAAAAGGGGGGTTTAAAGGGAGTGCAAGCGCTGGGGAAGGAGCTGCTGTGAATGATCTGATTGCCATGAGACCCACGGGATTGCGTTTCCCCCCTTGCAGAGTGCTGGTTTTAGACAGGCTCACAGGGCACCTGGGTGCTCAAGTGTCCCTGCTGTTGATCCCCATGGCTTTAGGGGCAGACGGGGGACACGAGCTCCAGCTAATCCACTTTCCTGCACTCGCAGAGCCCGAGGGTGCATGGGAGAACGTAGCAGGGTCGGGTGCCACGAGGCTGATTTCATTAGGAGCCAGTGCCCTTCAAAGCCAAAGAACTAAATGAATTTGAAATCATGTTTGCAAACACCGTGATATCATAACATTTCTGTTTCAGTAACAACCATGACATCATCATATCGATCTCTGACTAGATGTTGTTTTCTTCGAGTGTTGGTTTTGCTGCTGCTTTTTACAAAGAATTAATTTCCATATAACATGGAGTCTGGCATTGTGCAACAGTTCATCGATACATGGGCTGCCAGTAGCTCTGCCAGAAATTACATTACTTCCTATTCTGTAACAAGCATCTGAAATTAATTTCAAAAAATTCTCTGTGTGCAGTGCAATCTCCTGGCACTGCTGGCTGTTGCTTTAGAGCAACAAGTCACGCCACTGGTAAGAACTTGTCTCAGTTGGCCACAGAAGTTGATAATATTTTATTAACTAGCGTTTCAGCTTACATATAACATTTTATTAATACAGGAATACAAACCAACTCCCAACATGGGATCCTCCCATGTTTCTTTTTTACTGCCATGGACTTTGCTGCTGCAACTTTAAGAGGTGCCAGTACCATGTTACATACTCATAACTAGCTCTTATCATTGAGCCACAGAGAGTCCCAAGTGACAGAGAAAACAGCTGGACACATAAACTTCAGGAAAAAAAGGGACAAAAAGGAACCAGAATGTAGGGAATTTTTAAAGTGGAGGGTCATAGTAGTTGCTAGCACAAAACATACTCAAGAAGCCCTTGGCCCTGCGGTCTGCTCCTTGACTAGTGAAAAGAAGGTGCTGATCTTTCAAGGAGGGTCAAAATGCACCTGTGTCCACACACTGTTGGATAGGGGCAACAACTGAGTGATTTTCATGGAAAGGCTATTTTCAGAGTGTCAGGACACTGGGGGATTACCTGTGAATACCTTCATGATGGAAAGCAGCTCCACACCCTGACTCACTTCTCAAAATGAATAAATAGGTGACAGCTTATGGAAGACCATAAAGAATTTGTTGGGAGTGAAGAAAAGACCTCAGAAAACCCAGAGGTTTGACGAACTAAGCGCACGTCATTAAAGAATTAAGTTATCAGTGTTTTCCCCCAAGAGCAGGAAAGCCCCAGTTATCTCGTACACATCCGTGTGGCAAGAAGAGGCCACCACTCACTTGGGATAGCCAAGGCACGTGTGCAGGGAACCCCGGGAGGCTGGTTGCACATCAAGTGAAACCAGAAAGGCAGGTTGGGCCAGATGGTCTTTCATGAATTTCATTCAAATGTATTTTAAGCACAAGAGAAAGACTGAATACTACAGGGTCAAGCAAGTACATGTTGTTGAAGTCCACACGGTAAATTATATATAGCATGTAAGCTATTGTTATCAAAGTGCCCGCCTGCGACTACCCGCGGAGAGGCTTCCCATTTCGCACGGAGCTCTTTGGAACAGAGAGCAGCTCATTCTTACTTATTTAACTTTAAGAAAGTAGCTGTTTCTGCAGCAGCAGAGATAGGAAAAATGAGGTGGGAAGAAGAAGAACAAGAAATATTTATGTCCTTTGCTAAATCATTCAATGTGGAGGTTTGCACCACAGTTTGTGCCATATCCGGGGAAATGACACACTCGTATTGCTACAGGAATCCTATTGTTAGAAAATACTAAAGCTTGGCAAGTCATTTAAGCTAGTTTGATGAGGTAGATTAAGTGACAGTGGAAGCAAAACCTCCGGTAATTTTCCTGATATTAAATATATTTTTGGAAGCTTCACATTTATTAACTCACGTCAGTAGAACAAACAAAAATAGCTTACGGAAAGTGCTTAAATCTCTGCGGCTGAAAGGAAGAGGCTTTGGGGAGTGCAATGGTCTAGATGAGACACACGAATCTGACAGTATCCGCGTGTATCCTCCGTGCTGACGAATCACCGTGTGCTGCAACCCTCGTTCCACGAGAAAATACTGAGTGCAGTATTTCCCTGGTGTGCAAGCATGGAAGAAATGGCATTTCGGGGGCTTTCCATGCCCATTAGAAACTTATCACCACCTGAGCCAAAACGCCGAGGACCGTCTGAGCCACTGCAGAGCTTCCCTTCCCACTGCAGCCCACCTTGGAGGAGGGGAGCGGGCATGGGAACTTCATCCCATTGCATCTCCACCCTTTTTACTTGTTTCTCCCCAAATACTGTTTGCTGAGCCAAACGATATGCTCCTTGGCACGGCAGCTGGACATCCGGCTACAGAGCAGGGTTTTCCTAATTACAGAGTGCAGCTGGAATTGATTCTCCTGGTCTCAAGTGTCTCAGAGTTTGCCTTGGGCCAACTGGCAGCCAGCTCAGATGATGATTCAGAAAAGATGTGCTCAGAAATCAGCTCACTAAAACACAGAGGAATGGCAGAGGTGCGGGCATGGGTGCAAAGCAGTGCTCTGCAAGGCTCTGGTATGCACAGGGCAGCCCAGCTTGCAGCTGGTCAGGGTTTCTTACACCTTTTGGATGAAACTCGTGTAAACTATCCTCTTGCAGCACTGCTTCACTGGGATGTGGGGTGTTTGCTGGATGCACAGCATGCACATTGGTGAGATGGAGGAGGACAACGAGGGGGGCTCTGATGGCAGCCGGAGGGATGGATAAGTGGGGCAGAGCTGGAACAGTGGCACCAGCTATCCATCTCATCCCAATAATGGGTCTCGAAAGCTAATTTTCCCTCACTGCTCATATGCTAAGAAATTTAAAATGCCTGGCATCACATCTGATCTCTGCTCTGTGCTCAGACTACCACCAATAGCGTGGGATGGGCTGCCATGCCATATCCCTCCGCAAGGGCCTCTTCAAACAAGCTTCTCCAGAGGCTCCAGGAATCTCTCCTGCATGGAAATACCTGGAAAACTCCTAAAAGTACTAGAAATTGTCACGACCATCACTGAGCTCCCTTGTCACATCAACTGTGGGCGTCCACCCCAAATCATCCACAGAAGGCAGACTGTGATTTACCATCCCCAGGACCTGTGGGGACAGCCTGGTTCCCTTCCTGGCTTCCCTTCCATTAAAAAAAAATCTCTTGTTTTAAGCCTTTTTCTCCTTTTTTGCATTATTCCTACTGTAACCTATGTGCAGATCAACGACATTGATCCAAAACACTGAAGAAAACCATTTATACATCATGCAGTTTAAAACACTTGATTTGTTCAAATTTTCTTGTGACTGACTTACGTCAAACACCTTAGGAACCAGCAAGGAAAGAGGTTGTCATTAGAGATTCACCGCTCTCCCACTCAGCAGGGGCTGGGCAGGTTTGTAACGCTCCTCTCAGATCTGAAATGAGTCACCCGGAACCCCATCCCGACATTACGGATACAGCTAAGATGAAAGCCGAGAAGCACCAGAACTAAATTCACTTCTGCTGGTCGTCTTCATATGTCACAAAGAAACAGTAAAGGCAGCAAAAAAAAGAATTGTAGAGACCATATTTTTTTTTTTGGTCGATTTTAAGCTAAAATTAAGTAACTAACCTAAAGTCCACGTATCAAGTAGTGAAATAAAGAGATTCGCTGGAACTAGGGGTGGGCAAAGGCTGACATCCCACCTTGGGGCTGAGTTCCTGCTGGTATTGCACTGATTGATACCTGCTGCTGAGCTTTGGGCTTGCTTGGTGGAGGGAAAACCCTGGCACTATCCTTAGATCCTTGGGTTGTCCCCCATGGGACTCATATTGTGTTTGCAGTGAGCTAGGAGCTCCACCACACTGTCCTCACCATCAAGAGAGGACAGCAGAGGCAGGGTCCTCTTCATGATACCCCTGCTGCTCCTCTAATAGGAGAACGAAGCCCTGCCTTGCTATGGGGTCAAAATGCAACATGGATTTAAAGGGGGAGAAAGAAGCTGCCAGCATTTTTCTGGAAATATTTATTGCAATTGAGGCAACAAAACCAGCACAGCAAGAACAAGTGCCTTGCTGCAAAGGAGGGCACCCAAACACACTTGCACACAGCAGCTTTTTAAAGCAGCTACACCAGAAGGCTTTAGAATCAGAGTAAGCAAACCAGCCAGAAATCTTCCTGTCTGAGCAGGATTCATTATGCAAACAAAACAGAAAAATATTTTCTTAAGGTGTCAGGATGGATTTCCTCCCATTACAAGGAGCATCATGAGATTTGTTAACGGAATTATCTTTCCCTGCTTGCACACCTTGCCGTGGCGGGCGCTGCCTGCAGAGATGATTGCAGGATGTGCCACAGAGCAGACAGACGAGCGCGGGGCCGCTACCGAAGAGCCAGCAGTCGTGCATCAACCTGCACGGGCTGTTAGGAGCGGGGAGCTCGTCGGGTTGGCAATAATTACACCCTGGGACCTGTGCAGGAGGGAAAAAATACCGTGTTTCATTGAGCATCGCCCTTGTTCTTTGTCTGTACCTAATGCCATCAAAAGTGTTCTCCCTGGGAAATCGCCCCCAGCGTGTCCACCACTGGGGCGATTCTTCGAGTTCACGTTTTCCCCATTTCCCCATTCCATTTTGCTTTTTTATTCCGTTTCCAGTGGCATGGGCAGGAGCAGTTTCTCTGGGCAGCCCGGGCTTCTGCCAACAAATCTCAGGTCCTGGAAACAGCAACTATCTCCCCAAACCCATTGGAACCGCGCTGTGCTGGCGTAATTCCAGCCAAGGATTCCAATGGGAGTAAATGGAGAGATTTAACAACAGG